TCTGCCTGTGTCCAGTTCCTATGGCCAGGCTGTGGTCACTGAGCCTGTCCTCTCTGCGGATCCAGATCTGCCATTTTGTTTGTGTGTGTGTGTTCCACCAGTGACGCAGTGTTGCTTAAAGAAAAGTAACAAGTAATCATATATTTCAAGATTGCTTCTTTTAAAAGACAAACAGCTCAGGTTTTCATTGTTGTACAACATTTACAGGTTACGGAACTTAGTTGGAAGTCCTGACAGGTGATGCCCGTGTTGAATGTTATGATTTTATTAAGTTGTCAGATGATTATTTTCTGCATGGTGTGCCTATATTCTTTTATTAGATACATTAAATTCTCATTTTATATCCTTTTCATGGGTGAGGAGGGGGAGAGTTCTAGAATAATAATTGAGTTACTAACAACGACTCAAGTTCAGTGAATAAAAACATTTAATTTATTTGAGGTGTAACACAAAAAAAGTTTTTTTTTTCCCACTGATGCAAAGGAAAACATTGCAGAGCCTGCCCCTTGAATGTGGCCGAGACCGAGCTATTTTAGTGGTAGGCAGCTCACGCCTGCCCGGTGTCCAACTCGATTGTGCAATCTCGACCCACTGCTCCCTTTCTTCCCTTCCAAGCCTGGATTCAGGGCTCACAGGACTTCTAGGTTACTACAGGCTATAAATGGCTAAACAAGCAGCAGCATTTAATACAGTACATCCTAGATCAAAAGCATCAAGTGGGCTGTAGGCAGCCTTGTTGTCTTACTGTTGCCACGGGATAATCAGATAAATTCAGCTGACGCTCGAAATGACGTATTCGGGCTGTAAATCAGGGTCGATGAAACTATTCCTTAATAGTTTATGGCCTGAAATGTGTGCTTTTGTGTACAAAAGATGAAAGAAGTGCTTATATATTATAGGCCACTATTCACATGTGGCTCTCTAAGAGGTGAGCTCTGCCCAGAGTCCACCTTGATTCTGCACTCTCTTGTGATTGCTCACTGAAAGGGTTCAAAGTCTGGCCTTCCTCCTCTTTGAAGGCCAGATTCATGGTTCATGAACGTTTTCATGTTCTGCCGGGCTGCGAAAAGTTAAATATTTAATTGGCTGGTCTTGTTGATGCAGAATGATAAACCAGCGCTTGCCTGTCTAGGGCGCAGTGTCTGAGCTGAGAGCAGTCAGTCTGGTTAACACCAGGCACAGCAGCCCAGGCGCCCACAAGTACTGTGTGTCTCATGGATGCCGGTATGTTTGGAAAATGGAAAAGCGATTGACTGGCCAAGTAAGAATTTGACCGATTTCTGTCCTCAGCGGCGTCTTCCTGCACACCTGTGATGTCCACCTCCCTTCTCTCCTGTCTCCTGCTTCACAAGCATCGCAAGGTACAGTCAGCCCTGCAGCCTCACACTCCTGCATGCAGTTTCCAGTGGTGTCCCCTGGGTTGACTTTGTCAGTGTGTTGGGGGATTCTGAATACTTGGATCGCACTGTGCTGTTATAAACAAGTGCTGTTATAAAGACCGTCACACAAAGTGTGCAAACCTCCCAGTATTACAGTATGTTGTATATATCACACAAAGAGCAGCAGTCACTTAGATCAGATACGTTTCCACCGACAGAAACAAGGTAGAGCTCTAAGAAAGCTTTCTTGAGTTTATTCAGGTCGAAAGCACTTCGGGGGGAAGGACTTTCTAAAACGCTACTGGATTGACTTTCAGAACATAACATACAGTTCATATGGAGCACTGCAGGGGACAATGCATACAATGGCAGGGCTAAGATGAAAGGAGTACACTGTGGGTTTCAAGCAAGGCTATAGAAGATCGATAAACGTGCTCTATACATTCTCTCAGTGTTTCAAGCAAGGCTTTAGAAGATCAATAAACGTGCTCTATACATTCTCTCGGTGTTTCAAGCAAGGCTATAGAAGATCGATAAACGTGCTCTATAGATTCTCTCGGTCTTCTCTGTTCAGTACTAAAAAGGTTCAGTTCTTTCAGCCTGTCAGTGTAAGATAAAATAAGAACAGTATGGCTTAGTATTACATGCAGGTTTATGGAACATAGTCTGTAACTAAATTAGAGTATCATCTGCATATTAAAAGTAATCTAATTTATATGCAATCTGGATTTAGAAAAGGTAGCCCTTAACTAACTTGATTAATGTTATGCAAGCAGGCAGCACATCAATTTCATATGGCAGGGTTAGATTTTTAGAAGACGTATGATAAAGATTTGTTTTTGTTTTAAATTGAAGGGCGCAGGCATCTATGGAAATGTGTGTATGGGAGATGAGATCTGGTCAATGGATAGAGTGCAGATAAAGGATTCTCAAAAGCTCCAACAGGGATTATGTAATTATTGGAGTCCCACAGGGGTCTGTACTGGGACCAATGTTCTTCCTCATTTAGATCAATGATCTACATTCTGGTATAGTTAGTAAAATAGAAACAGCAAAGGAGATTCAAAGGCCTATAGACACTGCAGTGTTTCATGCAGGGGGCAAAACTACTAAAGATCAAGATGGTAAAAAACAAGAAAACTGTGATGAAGGCTTGGGCGTTTATGTTGACCAATCATTCTTCCAAATTTTGGGAAGCAACAAGAAAGCAAATGCTGTTAGATAGTTGAAAGTGTGGAATTTAATTGAAGGGATATGATGTTAAAATTGTGCAATTCACTAGAAAGACCTCAATTAGAATATTGTGTGCAGTTTGGTCACCACATTACAGCACTGATCTAGAATCCCAGAAAGAGAAGAGCAACCAAAGGGAATGCCCTATGCTTATTGGCTGGAGGAACTGAATCTTTTTAGTCTTAGACATATAGTAGAAGACTTCAAATGGAGCCAACACAAGTATTCATATTCCTCAAAGGCAGTGAGTACATCAACCCAGCTGACTTTTTCAGAGGCAACACTGAAACACCCACGAGTGGAAACTTAGGAGTGCATTTAAAAATACATTTTTGTTTATGCAACAGCAAGCTACTCAGCTGTTTTGTTGAAGCTGATACCCTGACTTCTTTCAAGAAGCAGCTGGATGAGATCCTAAAATCAGTTAGATGCTAATTACCAAACAGGTCAGATGGGCTGGCTGGCTTCCTCTCGTTTATATCCGCTCTTGTGTTTTGATGGTATTGTAATAGATTGAGAGTGTTCCAGTCGGGGGGTATTACAGAGCTCTTCGCTGTCTTGAGAGTCCATGGGAAGACTTTTGTTACCAGTCTCTAACATCTTGTATTTCCTTTGGCTTAATTGGTGGATCCCTCCCACCTCGTCACTCATGTCCCCCTCCTCCCGCAGGGTGTGCGCCTCTCCCAGCTGTGCAGGGATTTCTCCTGGCTGCTCGAGGAGGTCCTGTTTCGGAATTGGGACGTAGGATTTGGGGGTTCCCTGGAGGAGGTGCTGTGCCATGCCCTGTCACTCCTGCGGGACAGCCTGATCGTGGGGTACCCCCCCTCCCAGAGGAAGGACCCCCTCCTCGCTCCCCGTCCCTGCCCCCAGGCCGTAATGACACTTTCCCGCCACAGTGAGGCGCTGTGCAGTGTCTTCCGCCTAGAGGCAGTGGGAGGTAAGGCAAGGCTCACTTTCCCTTTTTTTGATTTGGAGTCCCCAGTCTTATTTGTTAAGTGCACCCCCAGAATTTCCAGCTGTAAATCAGCTCAGCATTACTGCTCACCCAGGAGGAATGAGGGCTTGGCACCTTTTCCTCTCCGTATTCATGTTTGAGCTCTCTGGGGTGAGCCCCTACGGCTCTTACAGCAGAACTGGCATCCAGTGGGGCCTGACATGGCACTGCTGGATAACGCTGGCACCCTCTATTGTCCAACAAGCTCTCAGGATCACTTGCCCTGTGGCATGACCCTGCTGGAGGATGGCTCATAGCTGGTTAGTGTCGTAGCCCATACCTGAACCTGAGACATGTGGACCTCAGGTCCCAGCCTGAGCTCTGAGCTGGTGTCTCTGTCTGTTCTTTTACCCTCCGTCTCCCTTTCTCTCTGTTAATGTTTTCCTCTCTGTTTTATCTTTCTTTCTGTCCGTCTCCCCCCTACTGTCTGCGATTGTCTGTTCACATGACCTGTTCAGTAATGTCGGTCTGTCTAGCTCTTCGGTGATGCCTTCCTGCACAGCCTTTTGGTTATACCTGTCTGTCCGTCTGTCCAGCCTGTGCTGTGAGTTCCATGCTGTCGGAGGCGGTGCTGTGTGCCAATGAGAGTGAGATGGAGTTTGACGTTTCACTGTGCCAGGAAGAGCTGACTGAGAGGGCCCTGCAGCTCTGCCACCTGCTGCCCGACATCATCCTACCCGTGAGTCACCTTGGATCACCCTGACGTGCTGACAGGGACTGACGCAGTGACGCCCTGACGCGGTCTGTCTCGCACACTGCCGCAGTGAAGCAGTAATGCACTGATGCATTGACACGATGGCGCACTGATGTACCAACACCATTGGTCTAGTGTTCTGTTTCACGTTAACACTGACACATTCATTGTTGCACACATTCACTGTGACTGACATTGAAATACTGATGCTGTCTGTCAAACACCCTGATGCAAATTGAAATGTCACCTCTGCATGGGCGTAACCAAATGCATCCTCTGTGTCTGTTATTCCTTGCCAATTAAATATCCCAGGGGCAATTTACTCCCGTTCCCTGTTCTGTGATCTCCAGTAATTCACAGTCCAGAAGAGCTGGTTAATTCTATCTGCTTGCCTATCATCTCTCTCCTCAGCCATGCCAATCTGCACAGAGTTTCGCTATGGACGCAGTGGACAGCCTGGTGCACTGTGGGATTCTTGTCATGGAAGAGGTAAGGTGGTCTCTGTGACTGATGGACAGACCAATGCACAGATCTCGGGGTGCCCCTTCCTAGAGACGCTGAGATGGAACCTGATGGGGGAAGCTCATGCTGGCTGTAGTGTAGACCCACAGACAGACAGAAATCCACAGTGTGGAGATAAGGCATATACACTGATGGCCAGCATGACTCACTGACTCTTTCTGCGAGTCCAGTCGTCCAGAGATCGGCCGGTGTGTGACCTGTTGCAGCAGCGTGACGCACTGCGCTGGAAATCGGTGGACGAGATGGAGTACAGCGACTCAGACTGTGAGGACATGTCCAATCCCCGCTGCTACAAGGTACTGACATCGACTCAGGCTGCCATACCTGACCAGCACATGCTCAGTCAGAGAGAACCGCACCCATACGCCTGACCAGCACGCGTTGAGTCAGAGAGAACCGCTAACACACCTGACCAGCATGCATTGAGTCAGAGAGAACCGCACCGACAAGCCTGACCAGCATGCGTTCAGTCAGAGAGAACGGCACTGATGCCTTTTTGATATATTAGAAGTAATACTCTGTCTCGGCATAATAGACTTTCAGTAAAAGTGACAGTGACTGATACTGTGATGATATGTGTGCGCTCAAAGCCGAATGCCTTGATCCCCGACTGTCACGCGTTCTCTCAGAGCGGAACCAGTTGAGGAAGCAAGTAATGGACGGACTTGTTCGAGTATTTTCTGTTCTCTTATGAATCTGTATCGATGTCAGTCTGTCTCCCTGTCTCTCCCCCAGCTCAGCCAACCCAGCCAGTGTCCAGAGCTGCTGTTTTTCCTGTGCAGGTTGCTGAGTGCCCAGCTGAGGGCGCTGTGCTGGGCCACTGAGGCCCTGCCCCTGCTGCACCTCCCACTCCCAGGTTAGCCCACATACAGCTGCACACATGGAAGAGCTCTCCATGTCACAATGAACGTCTTTAGAGCACCACACAAATACCCGAGCACAAAGAGGAGCATGCACAAACACTGCAGTTTCTGCTACAGTTCAGACATTGTGTGGGGAAATGCTGTGTAAGTATAAAGCACTGGTTACAGAGATGGCTGGAAAAGATTCTAGAGAGCAGCATCCTGCAGGACATGTTCTGTATACAGTGTCATTTAGTCATGAGATTGTAAAAACCTAAAGCAGTTTTTGATCAGTACAAAAATGAATTATTCCAGTCAGTGTAAGTACAGGCTGCTGTGATCCCTCACTGCTTGTGTTTACAAAATGACCTGCTGTAATGGGTCATATGTAATTACCCATTTAAGTGGTAATATTTTAGTAGTGTTTAGACATTGGTCATTGATCATTTGTGGGTGGTCTGTAAAATCCCTGCTGCGCTGGAGTCACCCAGAAGCAGAATATTTTTGTATCGGGGGTATTTGGGAAAAAGTTGAAGCAAACACTCATATGAAAGATAGGGCCCCATATATTGACCTTCCCCTTCCACTAGGATGCTTGGAAGTGCAGTGTGTTGTTGTTGGTCGGGGTGGGGGTGGGGATTTTAGCACATTTAGGGGGATCAGTTGACCCCCCGTGCCCCTCCTTGGTTTAGTGCAGTGCCACTGCCTGCGAGTTCTGTAACTGGGGGTGTGTGCTCTTCCAGAAGCCCAGTGTATCGCGCAGCTGCACGCAGTCCTGTGCGACAGAGCCCAGACGGCGAGGGAGTACTATGGTAACAACACCGGCGCCGCTGCGATTGCAGACTTTTGACCCCATCAGTTTGCAGCGTTCTGTGTATGGCCATTGCGTTTTAGCCTCTGGCCTGCCAAGCAAAATTTGCTCCGGCATTGCTGAATAGTCACCGTGAAGGTAAAAAATGAACACTGGATAGAGACTGGATAGAGCTGCGGGAAATCCGAGTTTCACTTTTGATCTGGAAACTGAAAGCGTGAGAAGCTCTGATCACCTTGCAGAAGCACTGTTGTCAATTGCAGAAAAACTCATCCCAAGTCGTATAGACCCACAGGTCAATCCAGATCAGTAAATCCTGTAAAGAACGTCAGTGTAGCTTAGGTGTAACTTTGGCACATTCGCTCGGCACACCTGTAAAGTCGCTCATTGGAGACTTTATATTAACACTCTGGACGTGCTGTTAGTGGACTGTGACCCAGGAGTGATGGCACAAAGCTGGCTGATTGGCGTCAGGGCTGGGTGGGTGAGAGCCAGCCTTCCTCCACTGATGGTGCCCTCTAAAGGCAGTCCAGCACCGGTGAACCTGTGCCTGTAGTTCCCTCGGTGCTCTCCTGGGGTCCTCTGGTGTACGGACGAGAGCTGTCTTTACTGCTGCACCTCTGTGGGTGGGAACAGTAAGTCCACAAATGGACAAAAAATCATCGAGTGAAGCCTTTTGCGAATTCTAATTGGATTGTTTTTCCTCTCTTGTGCTCAGAAAGTGCCTCTCTGGAACTGACTGCAGCTGCAATCCATACCTTCACCGACCTGGGCGT